GTTGGTCGTTTCAGGCAGGCGGTCGGTGCGGCTTTGATGGGAAGGGAAAGGATAAGAAAGGGGAAAACGAGATAAAAATAAAAATATATAGGAATATAGTTAGAAAGAAAAGAGGGTTTGCGTATGTGCGTATATATGTGTGACCGAGTGTGAGAGCGCGTGCGGTGCACTGCTCCTCGCGCCTAGCTGTCTCTCTATACCAACTGCCTTGCAATCAACATCCCTAATTATCCATCATAATTACCCCTCCCCTAATTACTCTCCGTTAATTAGGACATAACAATTAAATCGTGCCATCAACCTAACACCTTGCATCGGCGAATCGCGAATTGCGCCCGAGAGTTCAAATACACATACATGTAGATGCCCATGTGTATGCATATCGATGATAATAATTCCATAGTAGTAGTAAATCGATAGTGATCGAACATGATCGATCAATCGCGTTAATGGTGTGCATGACGTGTAAGTATTTCACGTGGATGGGGTGTCTGTGTATGATTGATGCGTATGTGTTATGCGCTAGTATAAATATTGTGCTTTGCGCCCCGAAAGAAACACTAACGCAATCTAAGACGATTGGCACGTGCACGTATTCTCACAGATACGTACTCCGTACACATGTACTCTCTTTCTCTCTCCCCTCCTTTCCTCTGCATCTGTCTCTCTCTCCCCCGTCTCTGCCACTTCTCTCTCTCCCCTCTCCTCTGTCCCTTCGCTTTCCCCCTTCTCTTCCCCTTCTCTCTCCCCCCCTCTCCTCTGTCCCTTCTCTCTCCCCCTTTTCTGTCCCTTCTCTCTCTCTCTCCTCCTTCTCTGCCCTTTTCTGTCCCTTCTCTCTCTCTCTCCTCCTTCTCTGCCCCCTCTCTCTCTCCCCTCTTCTCTGCCCCTTCTCTCTCCCCCCTCTCCTCTGCCCCTTCTTTCTCCCCCTTTTCTGCCCCTTCTCTCTCTTCCCTCTTCTCTGTCCCTTATTTCATATTTCCTCGTATATAATATCCCTGCATATCTCCATACATCTATCGAGATATATAATATATCTACTAGCGGGATACCCGGCGTTGCCCGTGGAAATCAGTGGCGTTACTCAGTTGGTGACCGCTTGGTTGAAAGGAAAATATCCAAAAAAATCTAACTATCTATCTATCCATGCATCCATCCATGCATCCATCATCCATCCCATCATCCATCCATCCATCCATCCCATCGTCCTCCCATGCCTCACCGCATCCCATCCACCGCATCCCATCCCAATCCCATCCCATCCCATCCCATATCCCATCCAATTCCCATCCCATCCCATCGCCATCCATCCCATCTCATCGCCATCTCATTGCCATCCCATGCCAATCCCATTGAACATCCCAGCCATGCCATGCCATGCCATCCCATGCCCATCCCATCTCATCGCATCTCCATGCCATCCCATGCCATCCCATGACATCCCATGCCATGCCCCCATCCATGCCCATCCCATAGCCATCCCCATGACATCCCATGCCATCCCATGCCTATGCCATTGCCCATCCCATCCATCCCGATCCCATCCCATCCCATCCCATCCCATCCCGGTATCCCATCCATCCCATCCCATCCCATTCCCATCCCTCCGATCCATCCCATTCCACATAAACATCCATCCCATCCCATCGCACAGCATTCCCATTCCTCGCCGATTCCGCATTCCGATGCCCTCCCATGCCATCTCCATTCCCATCCGACTCCCATCCACAACAGTAAAGAATACTAAGAATAAAAAAAATACAAAAACATAAAAAAAATAAAAAATAAAAGCTAAAAGTAGAAAAATGAGGCATATACTAAGAGGTAGGTAAAAGAGAAAAAAGCGAAAAAAAACCGAAAAGAAAACAAAGGTCTGTATCCGCCAGCTGGCACAGCTGATCTCAGACCGCGAATCCTGTGTAGGAGACGGATGTTCTAGCGTTAGGCCACTTGCGTGTTTAAGGTATATTATCATGTGATTCCACACTACGTGATGTTAATCTGTACGACCCGCCATCTATTGATGAATAAGAATTTTTTATCAATTTGTTACTTTTTATTTTCTTAAATTTTTGTTTTTAGCCAGAACACCTCCCAGACCGCTGCCTGATTCTGAAAATATTTTTAGTTTCCCTGCTAGGCGCGGAGTTGTCTGTTATTCGGAGTACGGACTAATTCGGCTGAACAAGACTTCTGTATATAATAGATATAGATATATCTATTATTACTCGTATACTACATATATTTATTTACAGACGTAATATATACTAATTATCATCACGCACGTAGATAATAGGTGAGATCTCCTCTTATCTACTGCTTGATATATATAATTATTAAATACATGATATTTTTTCTAATACGCCAGAGTGTCCTTTTCTTTCCGTATAGTTCATGTCATTGGTCGTCAGGACGGTGCTAAACAATGTATAATATACTATTCACTCATGTCTCTGCCCACCTCTCTCTCTATCCGTAGCTTCATGTCATTGGTCGTCAGGATCGCGGTGCTTAAACAATGGCCGACACAACAAGAATTCCACCATCTTCCGCGACTCACCCCCAGCGTCGCTAGTCGAGATGACACAGCGCGCAGGTCGCAGCACAAGGCGACATCGAAAGCGTGAAGCACAAACGCAGGAGCGAAGAGGCGCCGAAACCGAGGCGCCGACACACGAAGAGCGGACGGGAGGCGGCGCGCGGCGGGGCACGAAGAGGAGCCGCCCCTCGGCTCGGACGCCGCTGCCGCCGCACGACGAGGCGAGGAGCGCAAAGTGGAGGCTGTTCAGCGGTATTGTCGTGAAGTCTACGCCGCATATCCCGGAAAGCATGTATGCATTGCGCATGTCGCTATGCACTGTGTGGTTCCGTGCCTTTAGCCCGCCGCCGGTGGAGCAGAGGGCGTCCCGAGAGGAAGGGGGGAGCGAAGCGGGAAGCCTGGTGGAAGGAAAGGTGTGAGAGAGAAACACCTGGTGTGAGGAAATATATGGGAAGGAGAAATAGGGTATAGAGTGGCTAGGTTTGTTAGAGTTACGGTTAGGCGTTAGAGATATTGCTAACGTTGGGGTTAGGTTTCTGGCTCTAGTTAGGGTTAGGTTTATGGCCTATGGTCTTAGGTTAGGGTTATGCTTATTGGTTAGGGCGTTAGCGGTTATGCCTAAGGTTAGGGTTAGCGGTAAGGGTTTGGCCAAGGTTAGGAGTTAGGGTGATGGTAAGGCTGGGCGTTAAGAGTATCGTTGAGGGTTGAGCGAAAATTGCGGATTAAGACGTGAGAGTTGCGTTAATGTAAGATTAGGTTTAGCGGTTATGGCTATGGTCTTATTGTTAGGATCAAAATTTAGGTATTAGTCCGCGGCCACGCTTAGTATTAGAGCTAGTTGATTAGTGTTAGAATGCGCTCATTGGGAAGGGTGTATAAGGAAAATAAGTAGAAGAGAGGGGGGCGAGCTGATCTTAGAGATGAGTGGTCGTGTGCGCGAAAATGGCGTATGGATAAGAGAGTAGGTTCTTGAACTCAGAGGGTCCGCGTGGGTCGTCCCTGGGACAGAGTACCGTAATAACGTATCTGTCCTCTCCTCTCTCTTGCTCGCCACTGGTCGTTCATGAGAGATGAGATGAAGGTGAATAAAAAAAGGGAATGCTAAAAGAAATAAAGAGGCGCGGATTAAACTAGAGCAGTGGGGGGCGGGGGGCGCCGGCGCGGACGGTCTTCTATCCTCTGTCCTTCTCCCTCGCCTCGCACTCTCGCTCGCACTCTCGCCCTCTTACCTGGGGCAAATATGGGCGCGGGGGGGGGGGGGGGGGGGCCGGTCGGCGGGGGGGCGGGGCGGGGGGGGGGGGGGGCGGGGGCGGGGGGGGGGCGGGGCGGGGGGGGGGGGGGGGGGGGGCCGGGCCACTATCGGTGTTGTGTCGTTGTTATATATGAGTAAGCCGCATTATGCATTTTTCATTTTTGCGTAGTATGCACGGATTGAGCCACATTATGCCGCTGCCTCGCCCATACAGTCACTGACCTCACACAGTCAGTCACGTGGCATTGTGCAGTCAGTCACGTGACACCACACAGTCGCCTCACGTGCGTATCGTACACATGGACGCCGGTATGCGCAGCTAGTCACGTTGGTATCGTATAGTCATTCCTGTCGTATCGTGCAGTCAATCACGTGGTATTGCAAAATAATCCGTTAGCGTAGCGAAACGCAGACAAACAGAAAGAAGAAAC